TCAAGGATGATCAAAACAGGAGCTGTGATCAATCGATGCTATAGCTCTAATAAACTCTCTTCACAATTGGAGCTCTATTCAAACTTGGAATCTTTTCAGGTCAATCGAGTCAGTGGGGTAGCAATTGAGTTAGGTTTTCCCCTGAGCCTTACCCAAGGCTAAGAGCTTGACCACGTATCAGCATGCATAGGCCTTCGATGCATGTATGCTTATCGACCCACACAGCCCATGGACTGCTGCATAGCAGCATGTCCTTAAGGCATAAGCCTTAAGCACGATTTGGTGCCAAGGTAATTGCCCCTGCGCATTGCACGCAAGGCATGAATGGTGCTTACGACAAAACACTCCCGACACAGCGGGGATGCGTGGCAATGTCCTTCCTCTAGTGCATAGCGCACTGCACATATGCAGTGGGCAATGGGACGTTTCCCGACAATTGTGGGTGCTTCGACAGTGCGCCCACGCCCATATGCACGGAAGATGCCATGTAGCCCATCTATGTCAACATTTTAGTGCCTAGGCTGCATAGTAGGAAGCATTTGGCTTTCCGCTGACAATTCTCCATGATTGTTTGTCATTTTTACTCTTGTGGTCAGTTAAAATCCATAAAAACACATCATACATCATCAATAAACATTCCATATTCAAATACTTTCACAAAAATAGCAAATAATCAGAGAAATCAATGCATGCACACACTCACACTTCAATTTTCATAAAACCACACATTTTTTGGTTTTTTTAAATCTTACCTTCCAAATGCATATAGATCGTGCAATATTTGTGTAAATTAAAGTATTATCCCTCTTACTCAATTGACACACGAAGTGGATTCCAAAATGCACACTAGGAAATGGTTTTAAAAACTGAAAGGAATCAGCAAAGACTCGTTTGAACAGTAAAGTAGAGTCAAAATGTGTTTTAGGAAGAATTTGCAAACTGTGGGAAAATTTCACCGTAAGGATTCATTCCCCAAGAGTCCTAACATGTAAATCGACTAATCTACATCCTACATTTGGAAAAGAACTAAACACAGAAAGGAGATTGAAAGAAAAATTGCGACTTAACCAAACAGAGACGTCGTTCAGGTGCTGCAGTAAGGATTTTGGGATTTTGGGGCTTACTGCTAGAGTAAGAAGCTGGATTTTGTGCAAGAAGTGTTAGGATGCATAAAGAATGAAGAGAATAGCTCAAAGAAAGAAGAAATAAGCTTACCTCAACTTGAAAGAAATAGGATT